CGTGACTCTGGTCGGTGGTCGCCCTCGACCACTCGGCCCATCCCTGGAGTTGTATGCCTCTGATGTTGTCGTGGTGCGTCTGAGATTGGAGTTCTGTCTCCAAGTGCAACGTGGGTCTGTGGATGGAGATGGTGAGCCCTCGGTCCGTGCTCGGTCCGTTCCTCCCGGTCACTGGCAGGTCTTCGATTGTTGGTGGTGATCCCTTTCCTTCGTTTCTGTTTCTGTATTTGGTGGTCTCCCCTTGGCCGTTTCGCCTTTTCTGGTGGGGGGAGCTTGGGGCTATGGTCGCCGGCGGTCTGTGGTGGTGTGTGGGTCCTAGTGTTGGGCGAGGCTCTGGAAGCTGTGTCGTCGGAGTTGTAGAACCGTACTGCACCCCTTCGGTTCCCTGACGTTAGGAACGGGTGGGGTCTGGAGCACTCGAGCCTGACTAGTGGTGTTAGATGAGTTCTGGTTGTGAAGGTGTGGGGAGATGTTGTCGTCGTTATCTCAGTTGGAGGCGGGTCGTTTCGGAATTTGGTTTGGGGCTCGGGTTCGGTTGCTATATAGGCGGGTTCACAGTTTCGGTAGCGGTGCCTGAGCTTTGGGATCTTCCGAATCGATTGGTTTTCTGCTGCTGGTTGAACGATTGTTTGCTTGGGAAGGGCTTTGGTTGTGTTTATTTTGCTTTCTATTGTTTTCGTTCGTTTTGTGTCGTTTCTGCTTGTGTTATTTAGGACTTGTGTTTTCGGTTTGGGTCGTTGGCCTCTGTACGTACGAGTGTAAACTTATTATCCTGTTGGGATCGTACACTCGGGCATTATCCTGTTGGTGACTTCGTAGTTGTTTCATTGTGTTTGTGTAGTTGCGAGTTTGTTCTTCTAGCGTTGCTAACTTCGGCTCTAGGCGATCTTTGGAAAAGAGAAACCGGATAAACATATATATGTATATATAATACACATAATTAATATTTATATAACAACATTTAGACAATAAATATTAATAATAATAATAACGATATTAATAATAACAAATAATAGCAAATAAGCATTTTAGGCATTTAGCAATAATATTTATAATAATGATAATAAATATAGCAACAATCTATTAGGCAATTAAATAATAATAATAATAATAATAATAATAATAATAATAATAATAATAATAATAATAATAATAATAATAACAATAAAGATAATAAATAATAACCTCAAATAATCATTATTCAAACGGGGTATTACACGTGGAGAAGAGTCGGGCAGGTGAAGGACTTGTAGATAGGAGAAGAGTTTGAGTTGGGCCGAGAAAGAATTCAAAATCCTGCTATAACTTAGATTCTAGAAGTCGAAAACAGAAAGGTTTTTCTCTGTTGCATAAGCTTCAAAAAGGATTGAGAAGTTTGATAAGGAGAAGAACACAACTGATATTTAAGTCGAGATGTGTTTCCTAAATTAACTTTAATTCCTAATGAAAGCTGCTATGTGTCTATTTGTTGATAAAACTGAATTTCGCTGGAATTGGAATCCCGCTCAAGATTGTCGAGGAGAATATTGGGCTGCATGGTCCATGGAAACATATAGGCCAATCTCTCTGGAAATTATTTAAGTGGGCCAAAGTTTTTTTTTTTTTTTTTTTTGTACTGTACGAAATTTCTCGGGTATTTTACCTAATTATCAACTAGACTTTTGTATTTTCCATTTTAATAAACATATCATATAAAGGACAAAAACATGTCAATAGTCCAAACTCTTTTACTTATTTTATTTGTTATATTATTTTATGCGATTGTTACTTGTTTTTGTAAATTTATTAATCTTTTTAATTGTTTATCACATATCATCATCATGTCATAATAAAAATCTAAATTTGTAATTTCATGTAAATAAATATACCTTGTTATATCCATTTTTATATCTTTTATTTTCCATTCTATATCAAAATATATCTTTCTTGTACTCCTTTTTATTTTCTTATTTTTAATTTGTTGCCTTGTTCTGATACCATTTTCGTGTTATATTATCGTTTTGTCTTATTATTTCTAGCTGTACTATCATTTGTTTAAATTGTTTATTATTTTCTGGATTTTTTATTAAACTATATCGTTTAACATAATTATCATCTAACTTTGCTAATTGCTGTCTAATTATTTCTTGACTTATTTGATTAACTGGTATTAACATTTTTCTTAGATTGTTATTTTTATCACTCTGATACCATTTTTGCATTAGAATTTTTGCATCATTCTCTGGGACTATTATGATAGGTGCCTTTTTTGTAATATATTTGTTTATATTATCGTTTTAGTTGGTCCTACTTTATGTAATTTCTTAGATTTTTGTTTATATCTTTCTATATCATAATTTAGTTGTTTTAATTTTTGTTCATCTTTTTCTATATATTTATATTGAATTGATTTTTCTATTAAATAATCTGCTTCTTTGATTTCGTTCATTTAGCTCAAGATTTATATCTCTTTTGTCCATTTTTATATTAATTCTAAAAATGATTTAATTACGTATTTTGTTAGAAAAAGTTTGTTTTGAAACTAAATTCTTCTATAGTTTACTAAGACATTCTTCTGCTAAATAGATACAAATCTTGAAATAACTCATTTCTGCTTCTCGGGCTCCAAAATTTTCAACATCAATAGCATATTTTATTCGATTTATGTTAGATGAAAGTTGTATTCTTTCTAATTCTGAAAGTCTTTCAGAATTCTGTTTTTCTAATAGATTTTCTAAAGTTTTTTTAAGAACAATACTCCAAGGAATTGCAGGCATGATTAGATATTTATAAATTCAGTTATAAAACTGGTCATATTTTTGTCTGTTTTTTCTTCTAATTTTGAAATTCTAGATTCTACTTTTGATAATTTTTCTAATACTAATTCTAAACTAGGATTTTCTTTTTGTCTTTTTTCTGCTTTTCGTAAACAATCTAATAGTCCTCGAATATTTTCTAAAACCTTTGATTTATATTGACTATAGTCATATTCATTAATTTAATTTATTTCTAAATTCTTGTAAATCGACTATCAATGATTTTAATTCTTGTAAACTAGTTTCTCTTTTTGCATGATATTTTTTCTTGTAGGTTTTATAAGGTCCTTTTATATTTTTTGGTGTATTAGACGATTCCATTTAGATTCTTTTATTTAGACTTATTACTAAATTACTTAAGTCATTTACTTGTTTGTTTAGCATTTTTATTTCATTTTCTTCTTCATGTATGTTTTTAGTACTGAATGGTTTTTCTATTTCTTTTCTTTCAACCAAATCATTACTATATGAGTGTCTTCCTAATGTTATCGGTGTTTTACTAATCATTCTCATGCTATGTTGTCTTAAAAAATCTTTTTGAATACTATCATTTTTTATAATTGTACTTGTTTCATTGAATATCTTTTCCGTGTATATTCTATCCTGATTTTGATAATGCATACTTAAACTACTATTACTTAATGCGTATGAAATTATATAGCAAACTACCTTAGGTATATCTCCTGATTCCATTAACGTTTTTTCTTGAAAATTACATATTATTCCTAAACAGTTATTTATTTTCTTAGTTGCTAATGGTATAGGAAATTGTAATGAAACATTAAATTTTATTACTCCATATCCAAGATCTCCTTCTATT